AGTTCCCTGATGATGACTACTCCTAGCATTAGACTAGTAAATTACAGTATTCAACTTTTTTTTTTTAAGATTTATTTTTATTTCTTTATGCATATAAGAACTGAAGTATAGGCCAGAGGTGCAGGGGGTAAGAGAATTCACCAGAAACAGAATAAACTGGGAGCAGAACAGACAGATCAACTGAAATACACTGCTGAGAGGAGCAGCAGGTTAGACAAGAGAATTCTGCTGTGCCCTGAGAGTCAGCTCACTGGGGGAAGAGGGTTGAACTCATGTGGCAGTGGCTAGCAGTAGTTTGATAGTGCTGAGACTTAGTCCCTTGAGTTACCAGTGAGGCCCTGACTTCAACTCTTAAAGAGGTCTGGAGTTAGAGGCTCACAGTTTACAACTTGGGAAATAGCTTCTTATAAACATCAATTTATGACTGGTTCCCAAATAATCCTTTACTGTTCTTCTGAAGAGAACGTGTGCAGGTGCTTAGGTAGAGAGAGGAGGGTAGCGCTCAGGTTTGTTTCCTGCCCATTCCCATTTCAGCCCCTTTATCTGCCATCATGGTCTGTAAACCATCAGAGATAAAGAAGTTGGAATGGAAAGTAGGTCCTCAAATAACAACCTTTTGTTCTCCTCAAGTGTGCATAGATTTCCTACCAGTTTCTGGGTTTCCTCCCACATTCTAAAGATAAGCACATAAGGTTATTGACATCTCTAAATTGTCTCAGTCTCAATGGATATGGATGTGAGTATAACTGCACCTCGTGCTGGAAGACTTCCTGTCCAGGGCAGGCTCCTGCCCTGTGCCCAGAGCTTATGGAATACAATCCTTAACTGCAACTAGTGGATTAGAAAATGAATTAATTCAAGTGATAATTTCATAGTAGGAGTGATTTTGGCTATTTGTTAAGTTTGGTGACGTTTTGTGATAAAAAATGTGTGATTAGAGCCTAAGTCTTGAATAGGAAGTCTAAGTGTCAACTACATTACCTGTTTTGTTGAATCTTGTTTGTTTCCATTTTACTAAAATGGAAGGATAACTTTAAATTAAATCCGATTTTCTCAAAGATAAAGAGGGTTTTTCTCTTGACAAAAGAGAGAAATTTGGGGGAAATGATTTATTTAGAGAGCTAAAGCTCCATGTAGAACTTAATCTGAAGTTCTCCACATAGAACTTCATTAATATACTCAATGAAGAAATCAAATCCTCATTTCTATATACTTCCTGTATATCTTTTAAAAATCTTAAGATTGAGGGCACACTGTAAATTAATTTTCATAACTATTTATTTTCACAGTTCTCTCTTAAATTTTACTTTATAAAAATAAGCTTGAGAGCAACTCTTAGCCTGAAAAAATGAGTTAGTAGAATTACACAGATTAAGAACTTTCTTAGCAACAGAAAATATATTGTTATAGAGCTGTCTAATATCACATACATATCGTTTTCTTACCTGCATCTTGAGGCAAGTTCTTCAAAATAGAAGGCAGTGATTTTTAGAGCTTGTATCTTTGCAAGATGGCTAAAGAGAATAATCAAAAGCAAAGACTATACTAGCAGATTAATCACATTGCCCTTTTGATCCTTGGTAATCAGTAACCAACAATGAAATGTACTTACCAGTGGAGGCAACTTTCCTATAGTCTTCAGAGAGGACTTCCATGAACTCTGTTCATTGTTGGAAAGAATTACCTTAGCTAAGAAGCCACTAGACAATAAGGATATTAAACACACACAGTACAGTATTCGACATTGTATTGGAATTGTTACGTCTATCAGAGACTTCTAGAGACTAACAGAGCTGTGTGCTGGTGTATGATAATTGCTCATTCTGACAATTTGGCAAAAGCCAATTTTCAGGAATTTTGGTAGCCTATTGTTGAACATTGTATTATTATAATAGCATGTATTTTTTTCTGCACATGCTATGTGGGGTGTTGTTGGACATTAACTCCCAGCTCCAGGCTCAGTCATATCCTGTTAGTAATTTCAAACTTGCCATGGAGTATTTACTCTGCTAAAATCAAGAGACTGATTTGTTGTTTTCTTGCTTGTCTACCCTAAATTTGGAGTTAGTATGGTGGAAAAAGAATGTTATAATGTAAATTAAAACTGTTTTTGTGATTTGTAAAGTAAAAACTTTGTGACCTGCATGAACAGTTAAGGGGGCATCTTTATCTGGCATTTAAAATTATTCTTATTTATTAGAACCATTAACAGGGCTTTATGAGAAATAATTTCACAACTAGCTATAAAGGAAATAAAACTTCCATTTCAGTTTAAGTTTAAAACATGAAGTTGATTTCAATGATTTCCAGGATTTTTGGTAGTTAATCATACAGAATCAAAGAAAGTTCCAATCCCTGCAATTACACAAAAAGCTGAAAAACACTATCATAATCAGTAGTCCTGAGGCTGAACTAAATTTCAGTTTAATGAAAATATTTTTCAAGAATGAGCAATAGTTAAAAGTCCTGTCAGATTTGATGAATGCCAGTTTATTGGGAAAGTGCTTGTGGACTAGGGTGTAACTCCTTTTGTGAACTGATGGTCAATGGCTATGGATGAAAAGTTTATAATCAATAAAAAGACTCCATGAGAATCAACAGGTATATGGAGCTGACAGTAAAAGTACTAAATATTTTATTATTTATAAATTTATTATTGTAAATTATCCCTAACACCCCTGAACATTGGACTTATTAATACTAATGCCTTTGGATTTCATTTTCTCAGTGTGGGTGACGTAAGACTGGTTCCCATGACTCTGTTAGCTTCAATAGACCATAAACGCTAGATGTGAATGATAGTGATATACTTTTTCTCATAAGAACACAGACACAGGGTCCTCCCTGATGGCTCACTGGGCTAAAGTGCAACACTATGAAGCTATCCACAGCTACTGCAGCATGAGTTCGATCCTAGGCCAGGGAGGTGAACCACATGGTGCAGCAGACCTCTCCGACTTGCCCTCTGTGCCCCTTAACAGTGTATTTCAGTACATTTGGCTGTTCACCACTCCTCTCCTCCCTCCACCTCTGGCCTATACCCCAATTCTGTATGCATAAATAAATAAATCTTAAAAAAAATAGAAAGCAGGCCCTCCCTGGTGGCACAGCGGGTTAAAACACAGCACTGAGAAGCTAAAGCCACTTCCACATGAGTTCGATCCCCGCCTGCCCCGGAGGTGACCACATGGCGCGGCAGACCTCTCCTGACCCGCCCGCTGCTCCCCTCAGCAGTGTACTTGGTCGATCTGCCTGTTCTGCTCCCCACTCTGTCTCTGGTGAATCCTCTCACCCTCCTCATCTCTGGCCTTTACCCCAGTTCTGTATGAATAAATGAATAAATCTTTAAAAAAAAATAGAAAACAGACATAGGAGGCAAGTTTCAAGTGTGTAAATGAATGTTATGTACTGAATCATAAAGGACCTTTAACTAAAAATGTCAGAGTCACCCTGAGAGGTTTCATAGAAGATATTAATATCAGAGAGGAGTGTGATTAGAATTAGTGACAGCTATTCAGCAATGTGAACATATAAACAAACTTTCTGGCCCCCCCAACCCCTCACCACACCCAAGCAGGAGTCCAGGCCATGGACTCAATCTTTGTTCAGTCTCAGATCAAACTATGACTACTGTGGGATGAATGCTTTGAGTTCTCACACTCTGATTACACAGTACTTTCAAATCATAACTTCATTCCTTTGGTCTATGCTGTGAGAGTCAGTCTCTGAGCGAGTCTTGGCTTCTTATGAGGATTGATTGCATTCTACTGATTTAGCTCAACAAATCTAGTGAGAGTTCAATCACAAGTTAAATTAATTCAGTGGTACACCATTTAGTAGTCTTCAAGCACATGAATGCCATGTATATATGACACTGAATGGATGTACTTTATCATAAAAGATTCTTTAAAGGTTCACAGAAGACAACATCATACATATATGTACACACAAACTAGTGAGCTTCTAGTATATAGAATTCTACTTGTCAGACTGTTTTTATTGTGATAATATCCTTTATTCCTGAGGTTTTAGTCCCAAGATAGACTCTGGGATCTTCCCCATTCCTTTCGAGATCATAAGAATTTTTTCCAGTTAGGCCCAACTTCCCAGCAAACCTGCTTGCATTTCAATCATTTTGCCCATTCTTAGAAAAGCACACTGGAGTGGATTTGATTTGCACATACAATTTCCACACAAACAAGCAATTATACAAATAATTGTTGATTTTTAAAAATGACATAATAATTAAAGAAAACTAACATATACTGCTTTCTGATGTTTCATTAAGGAGATAACTCACTTAAAATATAATTTAGTTCACTCTAATTCCAATTAGACAAACACAAAGGAAAATGATGGCAACAATTTCTTTATGTGGGTCCAAAATAAGAGTACTGAGACTTTTATAATAGTCACACATGTAAAAGAAAGATACTATTTCATGATAAAAATTTAAAAAATGGTGACTTTTACATATTCACGATGCTTCCTTGTCCCCCTTTTATAACCAAAACTTGATGCCAAATACAAAATGAAAAAAAGAAAAATAAGACTAACCACTTTAATATGTTGGATTTTATTACTTTTTAAAATTGTACAAAGAGTGCATGTGCATGAGTTAAAAAAAAACACAAGGGAAACACAGGGTTTTAAAAAATACAAAAGAAATTTGAGACACAAAACAAACAAAAAATGTTTTGCAAACCAGAATAAAAAGACAGTTTGCCTACTAAAAAAGTGTTATTCCAATATATTAAGAAGTCTTTTGATTAGGAATACAGCACAAGACTTTCTGCAACTATTCATTAACAGATTAGACTCTGTCTCAGTGAATACAGGGTGGATCATTACATTATCTTACCAGCCACAGCAGGCTACTCAGTAGATGTGGATATGGTACAATGTCTGTGAGGTATTACAATAAATAAATGCTTTTTCAGCTGTTCAAACTCAGCAATGGGTGTTACCATTTCAACTTTCAGTTGGAAGACCTTATCTTAGTCTCTTTTCTCTTCTTTAAGTTTTTCACACTAAGAAAAAAACAGAATACAAAATAGTTGTGATGAGGTGTTAAAAAGCAAAATGCTACATTTTGTTGTATGTTTTTTCTGACATAGTCTGCACTGAAAATGGGCTGTGCTGCGGACATATAAAGGACCATGATTCGGTAACAACCAGAATTTCCTTTAATGCCTTTCAGCAAAGCGTCAACTATTAACTATTAAAATGCCCACATTTCTGATGTATGTCTCAACCACTATTGTGGAAAGAGAGCTGAAACATACTGAGTACTGCTAAAGCAGGCAGTGAGCCTCCTTAGTCATGATTCTTGCTGCTTCTGCTGTCAGCCTGCCCCTATGCCAGCTTCTCAATGTCTGTGGATCCACCGACCACTTTTTCTTTTTTAAAAAAATTACTGTATTATTTTCTATTGAGATGTAATTTACACATAGTAGTGTATTAGTTTTAGGTGTACATCATAATGATTATACATTATGAACTAACCATTAGAATAATGCTAGATTTACCATTTATGGTGACAACATATTTTTTTAAGATCTATTTTCTTTTCCCTTAAGTAATTAAGCAGAGTTGGTGCCACTATAATTTGTGTCCACTTGAAGGGATTTATTTATTATTTTTGGGGAGGTGCACTGGTGGTGGGAGGGCTCTGCTGAACAAACCTGAGGGGAGAAATCCTGTACTCTCAAATATTAACAAGGATAAAAAACAATGGTGTTAATTTTTAAAAATATATTGCAGGGCCCTCCTGGTGGCTCAGCGGGTTAAAGCACAGCACTGAGAAGCTAAAGCTGTTTCCGCATGAGTTCGATTTCCGCCTGCCCTGGAGGTGACCACATGGCGTGGCAGACCTTTCCTGGCCCTCCCGCTGCTCCCCTCAGCAGTGTACTTCGGTGATCTGCCTGTTCTGTTCCCCACTCTGTCTCTGGTGAAGCCTCTCACCACCCCTGAGCCTCTGGCATGTACCCCAGTTCTGTATGCACAAAATAAATTAATCTTTAAAATATATATATATATATATACACATATATATATATATATATATATAGTAAAGGATTTAACAATGTGTCCCACCAAAGGCACATCAAGCCCTACTACCAGAATGACAGGTTTCGTTTTGGATACTCCAACATTTGAGTGAGATCCCAGAGTAGGACTCCAGTGGATTGTTCCCAGCCTAAGTGGGTCTAAATCCTAGCTCCGCTACTTGCTAATTTTGTGACCTTAGACAAATTACTTATCCACTCTAGTTTTATTAGCTTCAAGTATAAATGGAGACAAGAGCACCCCATATTTCATAGGACTTCTCTCTTAACAGCACACAATAAGTTAGGGTTTGCAAATTGAACAATGACTGACACAGTAACATTCTGGCTAAGCAAACATGAGTGACTTTATTTTTATTCTGCAGAAATTTGGAACTCTCAGGAATTTATACTCAGAGATTTCAGAAGTCATATTTGGAATTTATACTTTATAAATTTATACCTTTACAGAAAATGTTAAATTGTACATTAATAACATTTAACTGAATTTAATGTAAATAAGACAAATCTGGCTACGTACTTAGATTCATCTATTTTGAATTTTACTTTGAATCTACTCAAAGAAAATGTACTTGTTGTCGTTTCATTTTCAACTTACTTTAACAAAATTACTACTCATAGTTCTAAAAGTGGTTTTTCACTGTCCTGCTTTTCTTCAGCATCTTCTTCAGATCCTAGACAGTAGAAAAAGGGGAGCAGAAAAGATAACCCATTAAGGTAACAAATAATTTATTTGCAGTAATAATATACATGCACAATACTTTAAATGTGACGCTAAGCTCAGGAAATTTAAATTAATACAACTTTACCTGTATAATAGTTCTATGTCATTTTTTGTGTGGGAAGAAACCTTTAAAATAGGATCTAACACTTGATCTACTCTGCTAAAAAGGATATTGCTTATGTACTACTAAAAATATTAACAGACCCAGAATTACTATCCACTGCTATTCCTGCTCCTATTCTTTGCTGAATAAGCTTGCAATTTTTTTCAAATGAAAATGACTCTGAGTGTTGAAACAAATGATTTAATCTACCTATTTTTAAACATCCCTGTTTCCTGTGAGTGAGAGAGCAGGAGGGTTCCCTAAAGTTGAGGGTATCCAGATAGTCACTGTCAGTACTGCTGAGATACCAGGCGCCATTATGGGTTGGTGCCCCACGTAGTTTATATGTGTATGCATGATCCAACTATTCTGCTCTGAAGTTACTTCTTTAGAATGTATTCCTGAGAAATTAATTTTCATTTTCTGTATGCAAATTTTTGCCTGGTAAAAATTAAGAAGAAAAATGTGAGAATAGAAGAAAAAATAAATTTCCCTGAATTATCTTAAAACCTCTTAAAATTAGGCTTATGTATATTACAATAACATGTATATTATATATAACATGAACAACATATATGTTGCATATTGAAAACAAGTATATAACAGTAATGTGTGTGCCATAAGATCATTTTTGATGAAAATAAAATGAGTACTTATGATCAGAAAGAGCAGAAGAAATTAACTAGGTGACTTAAATGTATTTCTGGACAGTCCAGAATTTCTAAAACAGACTTAAACTGACTTTACAATTTTAAATTATAGTTTTAAAAATAGGCATAAATAATATAAGCAATACAGTCACAACTATGTGAAATTATAGACATAAACCAAGCAGGGAAAAAGTGAGTTATCAACAGCAATGTTGCTGAATAGTTTGAAGAACAGGAAGTCTTTCATTTTTGTTCTTTCCACATTTTTATAAAAAAAGTATGCATTCTGAAAATCAGGAATGGGAAATAAGAAAAGGAATTGGATAAGATTAAGGTAGCAGGTTAGAGATATAATCTACTCATATACAAAAAAGCAGCCTACCTCACTATTATTTTACTATAGACTTCAAAAAAAGGTTGTATTGTCTTATGAGAATGCCTGCCTGGGTAACAGCTACAAACAAATCTGGTACAGGACAAAGTATGGCTGATAACCATCAGAAAAGGCAATGTCCTACACATTAGTCTCATAAATGTTACATAGCTCAGGATAAATCTGTGGTTAAATGAACAGTCAAAGGTATAATGGTGGAAAATTTTCACTGTTCCAGTCTAATAAACTGCTCTAAATCATAGAGGCAGTGCTGTGGTTGACAGTTCTCCCTGACAGGGAGGGGCCTCAGGAAGGCAGTCATGTTGCCTTCTTGTTTCCAGACTATCCACTTGTCAGGATAACCGTTTACATTTGATCTACAAGTTGATATGTCTTGGAATTATTTGGTTATAAATACAGCTAAACTTTTAATTAAAACATGATAACTTACATGTTTTACATAATTGAAAAGTGAATGTTAAGCAAGGTCTTTTGGCTATGGACAAATCAGGAGGTCAACAAACTTTACCTGAAAAGCAAGGATAAAACTGGACACCATGAACAGACTAGTGGATGGAAAATGAACAAAGACACAGAAAAATCTGAAAAGTGTTATGCTAGAAAAATTACTGCATTCAGGGTGGTGGTCTTCCTTAGAGCTGTTCCCATTTATCACTCACTTCCCAATACCCAGAGCAAGAAATAAGAACTGACAGCTAAACCAGGCAGCTGAAAGGAGCTCACTTAATGGCACGCAAATTAAAGCCACAAAGACATTCTACTTCACATTTGTTATAAAGGCTATAATAAAAAATATAGCAAACACCATGTATTTGGGGAACAAGCTTTTATATACTTAGGAAGCAATATAAAATACTATAGGAAAAATGGCCCTCCTTGGTGGCGCAGCAGGTAAAAGCACAACACTGAGAAGCTAAAGTCACTTCCGCATGAGTTTGATTCCCGCCTGCCCCGGAGGTGACCACATGGTGTGGCAGACTTCTCCTGGCCCGCATGCTGCTCCCCTCAGCAGTGTACTTCGTTGATCTGCCTGTTCTGCTCCCCACTCTGTCTCTGGTGAAGCCTCTCACCGCCCCTGAGCCTCTGGCCTGTACCCCAGTTCTGTATGCACAAATAAATAAATCTTTTTTAAAAAAAATATTATAGGAAAAATGTGAGCAGTGTGGTAGCTACTTTAAAAAGCTATACAGAGGGCTCTCCCTGGTGGTGTAATGAGTTAAAGCACCACATAGTGAAACTGACTGGGGCAGCCTGAGTTCAATCCCCTGCCAGGGAGTTGACACACAAGGTGTGGCAGACCTCTCCTGACCGGCCCACTGCTCCCCTCAGCAGTGTGTTTCAGTACATCTGCTTGTTCTGCTCCCCACTCTGTCTCTTTTGAATCCTCTCACCTATCAAACCTCTGGCCTGTACCCCAGTTCTACAAGCATAAATAAATCTTAAAAAAAAAAAAAAAAGGTTATACAGAAACTTGACACATGACCCAGCAAATACTCTCCTAAGAATCTAAGAGAAATAAAAACTTAAATCCTCACAAAGATATGTATATAAATGGTCACAGTTAGATTGTCAAAACATGGAAACAATCCAAAAGTCAATGAATAAACAAAATGCAGCATACCAATGCAATGAAATAGGACAGGCAAGGACTAATATATGCCACAACATGGACTGTTATGCCAAATGAAAGAAGCCAGATACAAAAATATCATTTATTGCATGATTAGATTTGTATTAAATTTCCAAAATGGCAAATTTTCATGACATAAAGTGAATCAGTAGTTACCTAGGACTGGAGATAAGAGTGGGGCCTGACTTCAAATGAATCTACTTTTCTGGGTGATAAGGCTCTACAATGTTAATTCAAAAATTATAAATTTAGAAAATCATGTAATTTCACATTTTCAATGAAAAGATTTTATGATATGCAAGAGCTCACTACATTTTTTAAAAGAATGTTACTTAATATTCTTAGCTATAATTTAAATACTTTTCAAGCTTTATTAAAAAGTGAAAAAAAACTATGCTTCAAAGGAATTAACTAGATATGGTACCTAAATAATTGACTATTCTTTATATATATATATTTTTTTACACCATTTTGTGCAATTTTCCATCTCATTTGCAATCAATAATTGATTATTCTAACCAAAAACACTTCTGAGAAATAAAAGCCTTACTAACAATTATACACAAGATCCAGTTGTAAGCCAAGTTGGTACCAGGCAAACCATCATGAGTGGTTACTTTCAGTAGATGTCACATTCAAATTTTAACGTCTTCATTTGGATTGGCTTAGAACAGATTATATTAGGCAAACAGCTATTCATTTTAAGTCAGTCATTCAATGATTTGGGAATTACTCTTTCCCCAGCATCAAAGCTAGTTTAAGTTGTCCGATCCATAACTTTAACCAAACCATCTGAGAGAATTGTGCTTTCTTGTTCTTTTCACTTAGCCCACAAGATATTATTAGGCAAACAAATAAACCTGCAAACAAATCACCTTCATAATCTTTAAGTATACCTACTAATTTATGCTAATTTTCCAAATCTTTGTGATACTAAAATTTCAAACATTCCTTTACAAGGAAAAAATATTAACATTTAAATTTTGATGTCTCCAATTTCTTTGTCTCCTCTTTTCATTCACTCCTTCAAGAGTTATAAATCCTCTGTGTGCCAGGACCTGAACTAGGTGCTGAGGAAAGACAAGAAAAGGCAAGACAGGCCCCATAGCTTCTAACTTAGTAGGAAGCGATCAGTGTTGTACCAGGGCAACAATGCTAAAACTTGTGCTGCTGACTGACTGCTTAATTTTTAATCATTGCTTTCCCTTAGAGAATCTTCTTTCTTAAGCACATTAATTCCAGTTATGGCTTTTAATTTTCTTTCTTTCCTAAATGGAATCTTCAGGCACTGGGAATATAATATAAACTAAGCTCTTTAAAATATTCTTTTCTCTGCCCACCACAAATCTGCACTTGTCTTCAATAAATCATCCTGGGTAAGAAACACAGCAAATTATTTGCAATGGAGTGGTAATGCTTCTGACCACCACTAGGTGGTAGTAAAAGTCACAGGTGAGCTGTCAATGGATCAGAAAAGTTAAATGAGAATGCCTCATGTTATCATCACTTGCTGTTCTGAACTTCTAATTAGGAAAATACATTAATATTGAGAACTTTTTATTATCCTTAGATAAACGAAAGCTATAAAAAAGCATGAACTATATTATACAAGCTTTCTTTTTTTTTTGAAAAAGAGTGAGTCCTACTGTGGCTTCTGCTAGTTGACATCTGTATTTCATTTGACTCATTTTGTGTTTTATATTCAAATAGACCACATATCAAATTACTTGGTGTTTCCTTAGCACCCTAGACCACAATGCTATACCTCTGATCATTCATAGGGCTCTTTCTTACACCCAAGTCTACTCATAATAGTTCAATATACAACTTTTCAACTTTACAATGCTGTGTAACCAGTACACTTTCAGTAGAAAGAAAAAATTCAAAAATTCAAAATTCAAATTTTGACCTTTTCTCTGGCTAGTAACATGCTGTAGAATACTCTAGTGATGCAGTACTGTCAGCTCCCAGTCAGCATAATGGGATCACCAGAATAAACAAGCAATACCCTATAGTATACTGTGTTGACAGCTGAAGTGTTCTAAGCACAGTCAAGGCCAGGTTAAGCTGTTTGATAACTTGGGTATATTAAGAAATGCATTTTTACTTGTAGTAATTTCAACTTACCTTACCTACATTTAATCCCATCCTAAGTTCAGGGAGACCTATATTGTATGTATTTATGTTTAAAATATTTATTAAGCTTGATGTTGGGGATGAAATAATGTAGTCTCTAATATTTATAACCTAGATGTAGAAATAGTCCAGGTCATTGCTGAAGACAGTGCAGTAACACAAGATGAGAGGATTGTGGAAAAGGTCCTAAAAACATGTAAAGGACACCCTACCTGGAATTGAGAGGCAGGTAAGAGTGGAGAAAGAAGCTTTTTTGCACATTTTGGTACTAAGACTGTAGAAGGATAGCATTACAGGTAGAAAAAGCAAGATGCATGACAGCATTTTCAGAAAAGTTATGAGAAAACATGGAGACAATTACTACGAGGAGAGGTTGGATAACTGGGTAAGATAGCCCCAGGGTACATCCTGCCAGCTAAGGAGCTAAGGCTTTTGTGGCACTGAAGGTTTGGGGCAGGAAAATAGCATGTTCAATTACGCATTTTAATTAACACTAAAAGGCCAAATATTTATTCCCTGTAAGTATGGATCCTAGCACTGAAGCCAGAATTCATATCCTAGCTCCACCTCTTGCTCTTTGTGTGAAGTTAGACAAATTTTCTGTGCCTCAATTTGCACATTTCTAGAATAGGGATAAACATTTTTTGTTTTAAGGGGGATAAAAGTTTTTATGTAGTAGAAAGGTTACAAAGAACCCTTAGATAACACAACAATTATTTTTAACATGGTGTTTTTAATATGGTATTCTGGTGACTGGTTACAACAAGGCAACTGAGGCAGGGAGACAGGAAGCTGCTGCACAAATTGAAATAAAAATATGGAAATAATGATGGAACTATTAAGTGAAATAATGTGAACGAAGTATAAGGAAGGTTTAGAGGGAAAATAGCTTGGTAAATGATGGAATGAGAGCATTAATAAAGGAGGCTGAAAAAATGAATAATTAAAATGGGGCTCAGTCCCCAGTGGGGCTCTGGTTTTCAACTGGGTAACAGTGGATAATGCTGCCATTCACAAGACATGGGGAATTCTAGAAGTTCAGTTAGAGGGAGATAATAATAAGAGCATCAAAACCCTTTCCTGTCTTTTAAGATGCTGATCACAAACCACAGTGTGAATGACCATATATTATATTACATTTATTTTCACAACTTTGTATCTCACCACTGCTACTATATCAAAATGATGCCTTTGTTATTTTCATATCCTGTGTGTGGTAAGGTAAATGTTTGTTACATATACTGAGATGTACATGGATGAAGAAGTGGGAAGGAAGAGCTTTGGAATGACTGTCAAAAACACAAATGACAATCAAACTTTTACCTGCATCAGATTCAGGAGGAGAATAAAACTGACCATCAGAAAGACCACCAGGTATAAGTGCAGCACGTTCTGAAGCATCCTGAACTATCAGGAGTCCTGGAAGAGAAAAAATTCAGCTGCTGAGGTGACTTCACCACCTTTATAGCTTCTTGGTAAAATTAACCACAATAAAATGACTTTATTACATTAAAAACTTTCAACCAAAAAAAAATTAATTAATAAACTATGAAAAAAATCCAACTAGTCTTAAAAATTGCCTCATGCTACTCATGGGATTCTCTAACTCAGAATTCACAGCATCTTTCCCTTGGGAGTACCTACCTCCACACAGAAAACAGTATCATCATCAAAACTAAAGCACTGTGCAAAACAAAACTTGAGCACATACAAATGGTCTAAAGTCTGCATCTGGCAGCAGATATAAAGCATTCTAAATGGATAGCCTTTTATAAATATATACACATTTAAGATGGTGAAGTATTTCTGCAATATAGAAGTCTCCCGTAAAAGACATGTATTAAAAAAAAATAGTATGGAAAAGGAAGCATGATGTGGATGGCACAAGAACACTAACACATGACAAGAGAGGTCATCAACAATGAGTTGTTTTGACTGAAGCTGAGATAGCAACAAGTCAAACAGTTACGTATGTGATGTGCGATGTCTGTATGTAATATATGTTACAAATAATGACAATAAATGCTATTTAAAATTTTTTCATTGTATGCTCTGAATTATTAGCTACTTCAATTTAGTTTAGTCACTAAGCATGGAAGCCTTAGTTGATATGTTTTCAATAAAATTCAATTTCATTTTTATATACAATTTTTCCAAAAAGTCACTTCTATTAATTTTATTTCCAGTGTCCACAATACATTTTCATAAAGGAAACAGAAGGTCTGGTATAGAAGACATATCTTAGTCTGATTAATACGTTTTTTTTTTAAACAATTGTTTATTATAGTATTATACAAAAACAAATGAACAACATAAATAAGAAAGCCTTTTAAATGGACAGTTAACACTTTCTATTTATAATTAACAAACCTAATGACTTTTTAAACGGCTTTTTCATAGGCTTTACTTTTTCCAAATAATCATAAAGTTCAATCATCTCTCTTTCTCATTAAATCCAGGAATAATGAAAATAACACAGAGTGATTATAATAGTTTTGGCTGAATTCAGGATTATAAAATCCTCCTTATCAAACTAATCAGAGGATAATTTTACACTTGAGATGGAAGAACATTTCCTGGTTTGCTTTCCTTCTCCTCTGAATTTCATCTTCATCATTAACCCACCAACAGCCCTGTGCCTGGCACTCAACTTAAATAATTACAGCTCATCCAAAGTCAACACCTGCTGTATAGACAAACTGGTTTACATTTCTTTGTGACTAAATAACACAGTTGTTTGGATGGACAAAATGCTAACTGTTCTATGACTATTATTATGAAGGACAAAAGGTCAACCTGTCTAAGATAGCAGTGTTGGTTATTTTATTGTTGTTTGAGTATCTTCTTTACTACTGCCCACACTTTCTTCCAAGGACGACTGGCATAACAGCTAGTAAGAAGAGCCACATTCTGTTACCATACTTTCATCCAACCCTTTTCATTTCTGCTGTCCCCATTGAAGAATGATTTGAGTCAGCTCGACTCAAATCAACACATCTATAGCACTTCCTTCCAGCCAGTCACAAGAGACTAATCTTGAGAGGAACTTACTGTTTTCTTCTTCTGCTTCTTGAGGTAACACTTTGAAATCTAGGAACCACGTCTCAATCCAGGCAAGGATGAATGAAATGATGGGCAGCACATAGCCAAAAGCTCCTTGAGAGAAAAGCTGGAACAGACATGATCAGAAATGGGAATGCAGTTATCATGTGCTCATACTGGAGAATGGGACCTCTATATGGATGGTAGTTGTACAGAATCATACCTTTGAGAGGATCACTTTTGCTAGTAAAAAGGCACTGGTCACTGCTGTTGTCAACTGAAAGACATACAATCCAGTACCATTCAAGTTATACATTTTATGTTGTGAAGGCATATTCCTCACACACAAAACCCATCTGCATCACACGCACATAATATCTGAAAAAGCTATGCTTGGCCTGGCCTGGCCTGGTCCTTCTATCTATCCCCAACTCTACCAACTAAACCCAGACTGCAGCAAAGTAGGCTTCTATGTGTTATCAACCTGTGACTAGTTACTTATGGTTTCCTTACCCCCAGGTTTGAGCATGCAGGTGAGTTGGGAAATTAAATGTCCACCAGAGGGTACAATTTGCAAAGATACTAGCACCACCTACCAGTGGTGCCCTGTAGTGAAATGCAGAGTCAGTGTGTACCCTAGGTCTTTGTATGTTCAGAGATAAACAAATAGACCCTGAGTCTATCATTCCATCTTCCAATGAAGACTTGTAGCAATAAGAAAGCTGGCCAAAATGAATGACAATAGTAGACCTGACTGAGAGAATGGAGGCAGGGGATATTAGGTGTCATGCTCAATAAAATCAGTTACAGAATAAGTATTTGTTAGCAAAAGACTCCAACCAACACACACTTATAAACACACCCTCCACCCAGAGAGAGCTACCTGTAGAGGAGGCATTACATTCTGATACTAGTTAACTTTACAGGCTCTTTAGGCGCTCTTTAGGTATCAGCTGGCTTTTCATTTCAGTTGCCTCTCTGAAAATGTTTTTGAATACAAGAATCAGAAATAATAAAATGCATGTTTTGATAATCTGAACTTTGGTATTAAAGATAGTTCCCAAAATTCTCACTGCATATCTCTATTTGAACCAGTTTTCTGAAATGAACATTGAGACAAATTATCTCAAAATACTAGTGTACATTATTGAGCGTCTCAAATATAATATCCTAAACAGGGACTTCTGTAGAAGATTGAGGTGGGACAAAAGAATTTTTTTAAAGGTTTATTATTTATGCATACAGAACTGGGGTACAGGCCAGAGGTGCAGGGGCAGTGAGAGGATTCACCAGAGACAGAGTGGGCAGCAGAACATGCCAACTGACAAAGTACACTGCTGAGGGGAGCAGTGGGTGGGCCAGGAGAGTTCTGCCATGCCATATGGGTCACATCAGGGGCAGGGGATCAAACTTGTGCTTAAGTGGCTTTATCTTCTTAGTGCTGCATTAAGTGGCTTTATCTTCTTAGTGCTGCATTTCTCTGTGCCACTAGGGAGGGCCCAGAATTTGGTTATTTGACAAAAGAATTCAGGGAAGGGTAACCAGCAGTCAACACATGACAAATGTAGGTTTGGGCCTCAAAATTACAGAACTGCCTGTACTTCTTTCAATTTATGAATATTTATTAAGGGTGAATAAACTTGCCAACTCGCTATGCCACTTATGAGGAAAGAGATGAACAAAATCACCACTGCTTTCAATAAGCCCAGAGGTAATAATAAATAGGAACATAGGTGTATTCCCTTTAAGAATGGGGGGGAGGGGAATAAAGTAGGTATTTTAAAAAAAAAGTCCATTAAAATGAGCAGAGAGCAAGTCATAAAAAAAAATCACCAGTAGTTTCAACCAAACATGCAATTTTTCACATATCTTTGTGATAGAGGTATTAATCTCTTCTCTTTTGCAAAATCAGGTAGAGATGGGTTGGTGTTTGGTCAATAATCACTGTCAGATCTCTGAATATCTTATTTGGTTCTTTAGAACTAGAAAGAAGCTCTGGAGTGTTAAACCTGTGGAAGTGTGGGGGAATGAGTGTCAGGTAAAGCTAGTGGAATTCAACCCAAATTAAACCTGCATCTACTCCCAGCTCAGCCCCGATGTAATAGGGTCTCAGCCTTCAGAACTGGAGGAGAGGAGTCACTCACCTAGGCAAAGGTCATACTCACCGCTATTGCCCACCAGTGGCGCAGTCTGCATACAGCATATGCGAGTATTAACACTTTAAACCGAAAAACTGCCAAAAGCTATATATGTATACAAAAAGAAAATTTTTGGTAAATATATACTAAAGAAAAGCATTTTATGTTTTATGAAAACCCCATCAAATTGTCTTCATTATTCTAACTTATCTGCAGGCTGCCACAGATTGGCACTAACTGGTCTTTAGACTAGCATTTAGGATCCCTATTCTAGAATTGATACAATACCACCCCCCAAAATGAACTCAAATTAAGTTCCAGTAATCAATAAAATAGCTGTTTATTTTTCCTTCCTATTTCAGTCTCTCTATATTTCTGAAATCCTTCTGAGACTGTAGAAAAATTCTAGAGGTTGACTTTTCTATTCCAGATATAAATACTTTTGGAAGACAGCAGGTTCTTAGTAAAGTCCACTGCGAAGTCTAGGTAACTAGGTTATTCAAGGGGTCTGTCCATTTTAGTAGCTACCATCTTATTAGCTAGGGTGATTAGAGACTTTTGTGAGCCCCTCTGTGTCTGATAATCCCATGTAATCTCCACTGCAACCATCCCAGGAGCAAAGTATATGTTACAGATAAAATGAACAGAAAAACTGTCCAAGTTCACACAACTCCTTAATGAGGAAGCCGGTATTCAAGCCCAGCAGCTTGACCTAGATCAGGCTCTGAATCACTAAGTCAAGCTGTCTTCATAATTCTTTCCTAGTAAAGAATATACATAGAAATACATTTCACCAACTTTTCTTGGGAAAAAATGAAGTGTTCAAGGTAGAGTCTGCCAAAGTTCCTCACTAATCAGAACTGCTCAAATTCTGGAGGTTGACAACTTACCCACTTTCACTGACTAGGGCACCTCAAGATTCTTTAACATAACTGAAATTCACAGGTTATTCTTTATTTTCTTGTGCTACTTTTTTTTTTTTAAATATTTATTTATTTGTGCATACAGAACTGGGGTACAGGCCAGAGGCTCAGGAGCGGTGAGAGGCTTCACCAGAGACAGAGTGGGGAACAGAACAGGCAGATCAACCAAGTACACTGCTGAGGGGAGCAGCGGGCGGGTCAGGAGAGGTCTGACACACCATGTGGTCACCTCCGGGGCAGGCGGGAATCGAACTCATGCTGAAGCAGCTTTAGATTCTCAGTGCTGTGTTTCAACCCGCTGCCCCACCAGGGAGGGCCCTTCTTGTGCTACTTTTATTGAAATGTGTAGTTCAACCATTTGGTGTTTGCTTAGTTTCCTTACCCTATCTGCATTTTGGACTTGACAACAGTTATGTCTTTATCCTCTGTCTCACAGACAGACCCCAAGGATTCCTGGAGTCCATTTCCTAGGCCAACCATGGCAGTCTTTCCAATCTGAGCTAGTGGGTCCCACCAACTTGTCCAGTACCATTTACTCCCTAGGAACGGTGTACAGATAACTCATGAGATCTGACTAGCAGATCAGCCCAGTTTCCTGGTAATTCTTGGCTCAGGTTCTTTTAATTAAATGTTGCAAAAGAATTAAAAGAAGAAGGAGAAATCAATTTGGGTCTTATATGTTAATCATTTTAGAAGAAATATCAAGATATCAGATCTATTATGTTCTGCTAGCAACTTCAATGACCTCGGATATGTCAAGACACTGAATCTAGATACACAAATTCTTCACCTGGAAAAAGGACAGGAATATGTTATAGTAGATTTCTAAATATTCTTAACTACTCAGGTTTCAAGGAAGTGATAAGAAACACTGATTTTTCTTCACTAGGTGGGGATTCTACCTCTTTTCCCTATACACTTCTGTGGACAACTTCCAAAATAAAACATAAATGATGATAGTGATTGCAGGTAACATTCTCTAAGCATCCTGGATATATCTATCATTGGGCAGTGTTTCCATGTATTATTTCATTTACTTTTCAGACCTGTAACAATCACAGTTTACATGATGAAAACTATACTTTTGATCTATTATATTCAAGGATTAACCTCTGGCAGTCAAAATCTCTATATGTTGGCCCTCCCTGGTGGCGCAGCGGGTTAAAGCACAGCACTGAGAATCTAAAGCCACTTCCTCATGAGTTCGATTCCCGCCTGCCCCGGAGGCGACCACATGGCGTGGCAGACCTCTCCTGACCCGCCCGCTGCTCCCCTCAGCAGTGTACTTCGTCGATCTGCCTGTTCTGCTCCCCGCTCTGTCTCTGGTGAATTTTCTCACCCTCCGCATCTCTGGCCTGTACCCCAGTTCTGTACAAATAAATAAATAAATCTTTAAAATAAAAAAAAAAAAAGCTCAATGCATATTTGAGCGATTGTACTTATAAGAAAAAAAAAAATCTCTATATGTCCAAGAAAGACACTGTAAGCATTTGCTTGCATAAAATGCCTCAACCATATGTAATAGTTACTAATGTTGCCCATTATTACCAATATGCAACTTTCTACAAAAATTCCTCATAGAAAAATGATCATAGAATAATTATTAAAAATGTACTCAGAGATCTATCAAGGGCAGAAATGGAATGGCATTTTCATTATGCTATTATATAAACAGGTGAAATTTCCTTTCAGTGGTTTCCTTTCAGTGATAATGGTATTTCCATTATGCTATTATATAAACAGGTGAAATTTCCTTTCAATGATTAAGGGTTTGTCTATGGGTATTTCATTTGGAAGAAAAAAGGCTGTCCTCCAAGGAAATCAGGATGGCTATTTCTCTTTCTGTCCTTATCTCTCAATTACTCTTCTCTTTCTTTGGGGTGACCAGAAATTTGGGTAGAGTGAGACAGAGACCACTTAATTGGTTAGTAACTAAAGGAGAAGGAAAGATAGTTTTCAAGGGAGGAAAAAATGGCATAGAATTTGAGGTTAATTACAAAGAAATCTTCCATTTAGTTATTTTGTCATTGCTGAAATGAAATGTGAAACAGATAATACTTACAAATATATCAAAATAAGAAGAGTAGTAATCATACTGCACCACTTCCTTCTCTAATGTGTTCTCAATGCCTCCATTCACCTATGAAGGAAAGTAAGAAGTAAAAATAAGAAATTTATGTGTAAAAGTAATATGAAAACAATCATACAGGTAAGATTTCATATGTACTTTTCTGCCTATCTTCTTAGAACCCAGAAATTCTAAAATATGGAGCAAAAGAACCATTAGAATAGAGAAATACAGAACAGCAATAAATTTCCATTCTGAATTTATTTAAATTGAAATTGAAATAAATTTCAATTTCAATTCTGAATTTATTTAAAATATATATATATATAATGAAAGATAATGCTTTTTTGGTAGTTCATATGGTAGTAAACTAAAATATTAAAAAGAAACCTAATTTTTTAAGATAAAATCTTCAGTCATTTCTAAAAATGACAATTTGTGTTTGTTCAGAATGTCCCACATTTTTGGATCACTTTCCAATATTTTAGTTCTTAGATCAAGAATCCCCTGCTAACAAATATCAGTGATGGCAGTGACCAAGCCACAGGTTAGAAGTATAAAAATTTTCCATTTTCCTTTGCTATTTACTTCTAGCATTTAAAAATAAAACAAAATAAGGAACAGATAATAAAACTAAGGACTATGTTACAGTAAATGAGGAAAACCACAATTAATGGGATTTTTCTGTCCATTCCAAATCTTCTGATCAAGATAAATTTTGAAGTCTACATATCAAACAATATTTTTTTTTTCGTTATGAATCAGAGAGAACACATATCCAGCAGCTAGTGCCATTCCCAGGCAGACACCACAACAAACCATAGGGAAGATGATTTGCCTCGTCATAGGGAACATGATTTATGCATTTTTAATGTAGAGCACACTGTCTTGGCAACTAAAGCAGCTGGTCTCAAAAAGGGACAAAATAAAGGGCAATTAACCAAACTGGCCTGGCTAAGAGAGAAAAAAATCACTAAGAAATATCTTTGCAAGGTGTGATACTTGGTAAAATTAGAATAAAAGTTGTCAGGAGGAAAGAATACTATTGGCTTACTTTCCAAGTGTTTGTTATGCAAGTGAGGCATATTCTAAGTGCTATTCCTATTTAAATCTCTCGAGATTTGTATTTTTGTATAATTTGTGCAGGTTGGCTGTAGACCTGTTTTGACTATAGATCTCCACAAATGAACAGAATTGAAAACTTGGCAGCTACGAGGAACAATTATTAAAAATTATTCAGTTGAGCCAACCATTTAGATTCAATTGTTATTTCTCCAGACTAAGTAAATATACAATGTCCATCCAAATTTTAAAAAGGATCATTATTCCAAGTGGGCATAGGGGAAAGAAGGGTTTCTAGCACAGAAAATAGTTCCTGATGAAGAAAATAGGAATCAACAGTTTTCAACAGCAGATAGAAAAAGGTTTCTCTGATATCTGCAAGCTTTGAAAGACCTTGATTTTGTGCTACCTTTAAATAGAGAAATAAAACTCTCTATTACTATCCCTAACTTGTGCTATACATTTTTACTCCAATGTCACTAGCTCCTGATGTCCCACAACACTCCTCCCGAATTTCACAAGAAATCTCTTTCCAATCAAGTCCTGACAAAGCTGGTACTGTTCTTCCAGGTTCCTTTGTTACAAATCTTAGCACATTTTGACACTAAGGATAGCATAGTATCAGTATACCTTCTGATAGTTCATCCTTTGATATATATGTCTCTCAGGTTAGCATTTCTTTTCTATTCTCACCACTTTACATGGGATTCCTTAAACAATTGTTGAATTAGTATAATTAATGCCAATCTGGTCCTAATTTAATAGAATCTGCAAACCACTGCCATGGTCTTACCTATCATTCACCAAGTACTTGAGTAATTGGTGCAAACATTGTTCAGATACAAAAACACTTTAGTAAATAAAACTATTTATTTTTCTTTATGGAGTTTATATTCTAGCATGCGGAGAGAGATGCCAGATTAAGTGCTATACAGGGTGTGCGACAGACCAATGACTGATTTTGGGAGTTTTCATGGTCATAGAAATCTGTGCTGACATTTAAACAGAATGATATCAAAGTGAACAACTGAAATCTGCATCAAGATAAAGCAAATTCATCATTTCATACAGAGGTAACAACTAGTACATAGATCCAAGGCAGACAAGGCCAGTTTATTTCTGTGAACAGGAGAGGAGGATGCAAGTCTGGTGGATCCGGTTAGGCCAGGAGCAGAGATTGGGGAAAAAAGTGTGTAGATTCCTAAGTGATGACACAGGCATTGTGTCATTTGGATTTTATTCTAAGTGCTCTAATAAGTAAACATGAAGAATTTTAAACAGAAAGTCAGACTATCTGACTTATGTCTTTATTTTTAAATCATTGTGGCTACTATGAAGATAATGGATTATAGGGAAGTAAAAGCAGAAGCAGGCAAATTAGCTGGGTTCATGGTATCATAGGATAACTAGTAATGTTGGCTGTTGCAGGGGGCAATTAACAAAAACAAAGAGGTCATGTTTAGAGTGTATTTTGCAGGTATGTTTGATAAGTCTTATTTTTAGACTTGCTACAGAGAATGAGAAATGTACAAAAGCAAATCAAATAAGGATGAGTAACTTTTGGCTTGACTACCTGGGTACTCTTTACCGATGAAGAAAAAAGGGGAAAGGAGATATATAGGTGTGCATGGTGTAGGGGGAACATACTAAGTTAGATGTCCAAATGGACATAGCAGGTAGATCATTATATAGCACATACATCATTACTTTCTGGAAAAAACCTGAAGCCATCATTTCCTGTCTTCTGCAGAATTTTTAATAGCTTGTTGATGTGGTAAGTTCAAACAATTTTACACAGCTTTTAATAATTTTAACAGTCTAGAATCAGCTTATATGACACAAATTCATTTCCTACAGGGACATTACTTTCTAGTTAGGCTAATATTTTCTCAGCCAATGTGCCTGCACACACACACAGACACATACTTCTGCCTCGGTGCTTCTGTTCATCTTGATCTCCAAACCCTTCCCCTAGTGTTCCCACAAGTCAATCTCAAATAATCCTTCTTTCCAAATCCCACCCTCTTCCCAAAGCCAACTCACAATCCATTTCCTCTACTCACTACCTCAGATTATTCCAATCTCTCTCTGATCCCCTAATTTGAGTTTATCTTATCTTTGGTCATCACAGTGACAGTAGGATAATAAAATCAGAATCAGTGGGATAAATATCTGAAACAAAAATATAATAATAGTGAGTGCACAATACCAACATTTTTTTTCTCACTTTCTGGGGTAAAATTACTGGTGTTAATAATAAATTACATAACCTATATTGTAAGGAATTCTATAACTGCTAAGGGTTTGCTTTACACATCTTTTCATTTGATCCTCAAAAGAATTCAAAAGGAAGGCAAGATTAATATTAGTCAAAGAACTGAGAAACCAAAGTCTGGGGCATTTAAGCATTATGATAGGTAAAACTAAAGGCATTCTGATACTTCTGGCACACCAGTTAGAAAAGAATAAAAATGGCAATAAACATTGATAAAGTTCTTTTGTGAAAAGAACGTAATCTCAACCAAGGTATCAAAAGAAAAACTACTTTTCTTCTACATTTAGAATCCTGCTTATTTGCATTAGTCTGAAGAGTCTGAAGGGAAGAGCTTAGAGGAAACAAAGTCCTCAAAGAACTCAAGTCATGGTGAATTCCAGCAACAAATTCAGAAGTCAGTCTATCTAATGGTATATCAACTCGATCTAGATAGAATATTAAAATCACCCCTTCACTTGGCTCCAAAGAGATGAGTTACCTTAAGTTCTTTTAAAATGAAAATGAATCAATGTGGTATTAAGTTTTTCTAGATCTCATAGGCGCTATGCTCCACGCTGGGTTGGAGCATACAAATGGAGGAAAAGTGACTAAGCTAGAGGGCATATATAAAGGCAGAGAATTTGGGTTCTTGATATGAATCCATAGACTATCTGGGTTCCCATACTTTTCTGAAGGCCTAAAAACCCTTTATGCTATTTCTTTCTTTATATTACAACGTAAGGTAAGACAGGTATTCTTCCTCCTTAGCTAACCTTTAAAAAGCATATAGTTTTCTATTAAGCTTATAATAAATACCTCAGTTAGAAACCTAAGCCCTTGCACTGAGCACTCAGTAAATGCTCAGGCATATTTAAAAAAAAAACAAAAAAATGGACTTGAGCCATTTGAGACTTACAAAGACAGACAAGAAAAGAAAATTGATGGTGCAATTTGTAATGAAAAAGCCAGGTCAGGATAAACAATTCAAAATAAACAGAGTTTGAAAATAAATGTTTAAATAAAGAAAAAACCTTTTAAAAAAATCACATCCTCTTTTAATTTTATATTTGGGGAAGTTGATCATCAGTGAAATTGTGATGATAGAAGCACATGTTTAATTGGTAGGCCTGGTAATTTTCCATTTATAACTTGTTACACACAGATATAATCAGATTTCCTCTGGGCATGGCCCATTTCACTTACATTTCAAATTCCTTTAAGTAATAAGAAAGGAGGCAAGTGAGAAATGTGATATCATGAGCACCCCCATCATAGCTCTATCCCATAACTTCTCTGTGAATAACACATTTACATTAGCAGCAAACCAATGAATGCCTTGATTTTATGTTGTCATTACAATGATTTTTAAGCATTCTCCCTTAAACTGATTGTATGTTAAAAGATATATTTTTTTCTCTTTCAATGTGTAGCTATTAGTTTCAAAAACATATTGCACCTTTAAAATATAAAGTACTTTAAATATCAAAATATAAATACAAATATGTTCATATGAAAAAAATAAAGAGAAACATTCTGTCTTCTATCACTGGATGTTTGGTTGTAAAAGAAATAAGGCATATCCACAGTGCTAGTCAATAGAAGGAAAACCTATAAAAAGAAAGCTAATAGATTCATGTTGCATATTACTATGATTTTGGGACAAATCTTACTTTCTAATATGTTCTGCTATTAGATTTCATAATGAAAGCTAACAAGTCCAATGCCATAACTATTAAAAGTCAGACAAAAACTACTGTTATGAATCAGAGCTTTCATTAAGGTGTTGACTATGATTTTAAGAGAAATGACATTACATTAAATAAAATATATTATTGAATTAATAACACCTACTTATTTGTATTTTTATTGTAGCACCTGAGAGTTTATTTTTATTGTAGCATTTGAGAGTTATACTGTTTCTAATGGGCAAAACTTGTCTGGACAATAATTTGGCAGTCTAACCATGTAACCCTGACAAAATACAGATCAACCTCCAAATAAATCTAGAGCAGTTTTTTTATAAAGTATGTACAATCTTTATAAAACATTTCTTTGTTAAAATAATAATAATAGTCTCTTTGTAAATGATTACAAATCTTACATGTAGGAATTAGAAAAGTGGCTGCAATATCTAAACCATATCCTAAAAGCATGCTACCTTTTTTAGAGCAAGGAGCAACCATTTTCAAAAAGGCCGAAGAATAAATATTTCTGCCTTTGTGTACCAGGCAGACTCTGACATAGCTACTTAGCACGATAGTCAGCCATAGATAATCTGTAAGCAGATGGGCAGGACTATGTTCCATTAAAACTTTTAGGCCCTCCCTGGTGGTGCAACAAGTTAAAGCACAGCACCATGAAGCTCTCCTTAGCCAGCAGCCGCTTCACTACGAGTTCGATCCCCAGTCAGGGGGGTGACCCACATGACTTGACAGACCTCCTGACCCGCCCACTGCTCCCCTTAGCAGTGTACTCCGTTGACCTGTCTGTTCTGCTCCTGTCTCTGCCTCTGGTGAATACTCTTACCACTTCTGCACCTTTGGTCTGTACTCCAGTTCTGTATGCATAAATACAAAAATCTTTAAAAAAAAAAAAACTTTATTTATAAAAAAGACCAGGTGAATTTGGTCCCTAGGCTGTAGTTTGTCCACTTCTGTTACGGGGCAAAACCCATGAACTCAGATTTCAAAATCCCAAAATGAGTTTTAAATTAACCAGGCTTAAACAGCAACAGTTAAGAACAAGAAAGGTTCACATCAGCTGGAGAAAAGCAAAATTGCCTCATTTGGAAAAAGATGGAACACACTAGATGAGACAGAAATAATAAGAAAAGTACAATTGTTTGGTCTCTGGAAAAATTCTAATGAAGTTAACAAGACTTACATTTAATTCTATTATCCACAGTAATGTTACAAATAAGAGGTCAAAGGTGACAAACAAACAGAAAGTCCTTCTGACATCAGATATGCCTTTCTTTTCCCTTCCTTCATAAGACTCAATCCTGGCCATGAGTTGGGTAGGGTTGATGGAATGGATGTTGCGCAAAGAAGCGTGAGAACTCTGGCTCCCAGTAAGAGCGTTCTCCATGTCTTCTGGCAGGGAATTCATCCTGAAGGAGGGTTAAAGGAGTCTTTTTCCAATTTCACCATCCCTAGAAAGAAAAGGTCTTTGGGAATCAAAAAAAGAGAGACATCAAGTTAAACCAAGATCCCCTACCCATGTAACTCCCACCACCCTGCAACTCTTTCTCTAATTGAGCAGGAGTACCCAACACTTAAAAAATTGTTTTAATGAAAAAAAGTGAAATGAGAAGCAATTCTTGATGTTATCAATCAATACTGTACAAGCACTATAAAAGTCTAGTAACAAGAATGCTATTTTACAGTAGTAAAGGGTAAAAATATGATATTGGCCACAACTATGAAATATAATTGACAAATCAGACCAAACCTCTTAGGGAAAAGCCAAGTCAGTTTCTTGGCTGTGCCATGGAGCAAAACCTTGCTTTGCTTAACCATAGAGCAGAAAACATTTATTGAATGGCTTCCCAGAGAGTATATGTAGCTAGAGCTAGAACCACAATGTGTAAATGATTTATAAAAAACCTGCTTCCTAAAGAGGAACTGTTTTCCATCAAAGGTATCTAATAAACTGAATTTAGCATTTCCCCATCATATCTTAAAAAACAGCTATTCTTCTGGGCTTCTTCTTGGGCAAGAAGTATGCACGTCCCAAGGAGTTCAGCACTATGCAAACTTTCCAATGATAATTATTGAAGTTAGATGCCTTTTTCAATAAAAATCTCCATTTAAAAAGACTGTTATGCTATAATAGTCTCAATTAGATAAAAATCTCAGCATTATGGAAATAATAACCTCAACAAATATGGAAAATAATCTCACCAAATATGGAAAAATTCTGGAAAGCATGATATAGCCACAGTACAGTCGTTCAAATAATTGCTCTGAATATTCAATCCTTTGTATTGAGAATCTCTCAGGGGTTGGCTTAATGAAAGCTGTATCTCTTTAAAAGAGTATGTGAAGTGTGAGTTAGCTGTATACCAGGAACCTAAATTCACAATTCAAGATTTATTGCAACCTGGTGGGTAAGTAGTGTAGAGAATTATAAAATAAAGAGATACATCCCCTTATTTTATGTGAGATGAGAATGCCCTTTTATTAAGTTTTGGTATTTGAAATGGGATTCTTGTCTTAATTAATAAATAACCATCCCCTCTAATATAGCTATAACTTCCCCTCTCTTTACTACCGCCACATATTTCTATGATCATGTTGCATCAACAAAAATAGCCCACAACTCAACAGTTAAAAGCACCTGAAATTATTATCAAGTTCACAAGTTGGTAGGTTGCCTGAAGTTCAGCTGAACTGGTATGGGCTCAGTTGGGCAACTCTGCTTCAGTCTTGCAGAGCAGAGTTTTGTTTCAACCGTGTTGGGACTACATCTATAACCTATGTCTGTCCTCTTTGGACCAGGGGTACCCAGGCATGTAAACACATTAAAAATATCTATTCATATTAGGTCTTCTCACTCCACTGATATCTCAAGTTCAAACCCTATGATAGTGCAGATGGGATGTACACCTCAATGAAAGAGGAGCCAAGTAAACATTTGCTCATTAATATTCCAATCACAAAGTTATCAAAGTTTTGACCCCAAATTCAATAAACTATAGCCTGAAAGTGAAACATGGCCTGCTAGTTTTTTAAGAGTACCAAGCTGTATTAGAATACCACCATACCAAAGCATTCCTATTTTTTAAGGACCCTTATACATTAAGAGAGCAAAGGTAAATATTTGCAATTAAGATTATCTGATTTGCAAAGATTAAAATACTTAACACAAGCACTTATCTAGTAAAAGGAATTTGTTATCTAGATAACCTTCTCAAAGGGGACCCAAGTGAGTTTAGTAACTTACATTCACATGAAAGAAGAGACCAAGTTACAAATACAAATATTCTATATTCTAGTTTCTGTAAGTTTTAACGTATATAAAATCCATACAAAACAAATCAATAGGTATCTAGTGTCCTTAAGTTAAAAAAAAAATGGTTTGTAGGCCAGGATATGAGAACAAGTTAACAGTATATATATACAGAGCTAAAGATGTGTTGAAGGAATGTATCCATTTGAACAGGAGCCAACTGTATGGAATATATAGAAAGGAAGTGTCAGGAGTGATTGGTAGTGGTGCTGACACCTTACTAGTTGGCTGTTTCACATGTTTAACTTGCAAGAACTGGTCATGTACTCTCTTCTAGGTTTCTCAAAATGTGGTTTTTGAGAAAGCCCCTTATTTTCCAGGTTTCACGTATATCATCCTTCTCGAAATTTCAGCCAATCCACCTGTGTTGCTCCCACCTGTGTCTGGTGAATCTTCTTACCCACTCCCCACATCTCTGACCTATATCCCAGCTCTTATATGCATAAATAAATAAAATAAGTCTTTAAAAAACAAAAAGTGGAATACCATATGACCTAGTAATCCCATTCTTGTGGACCTATCCAAAGAACATGAAATTATCAATCAAAAAATCCGTATGTTCTATAATATTTATACCACTATTATCTCTAATAACAATGACATGGAAACTGCCTAAATGCACAACAGTGGAAGACTGGACCAAAAAGATGTGGTATATCTATACTATGGAATATTATACAGCCATAGGAAAGAATTCAAGCAGTAATTTTCAGTAAAATGAGGAAGCCTGAGAGAATTATGTGTAGCAAAATAAGTTGGAATGATACAAACAAATATTGGATATTTACATAAAGATGCTTTGATAAAGTAGAACACTCTCAAAACCCAAAACTCCCAAGAACACTTTGAGGTTAAGAGGAAGGGGGAAGAATAGAAACAAGAGGATACAAGGGATGGTAATGGTGGGAGATATGCAAAGGAGCATCATTTTGGACTTTATATGAGTGTAAAACAAAGTTATATCATGTTCAAGTCATTAATTATTTTGGGGTTCCAGTAATAAATTATATGTATCTTACTAACACAGATATCAGAAATAAGTGATCACACTTTAGATCTTCATTTGTTAAGTATAGTCAGATAATTAAACTTTGGCCAATGCAATGCAATTTTATAAGGAAAAAAAAGGGGGGTACTGTCATTTCAAATCTAGTGGTCAGGAGGACCTCTTTGAGAAGGTGGAACAAAGATTAGCAGGAGATAAAGGAGCAGTACCTAGGAGGAGAGAGAGCAAAGCCCTGAGAAGGATGTTAGCTGGGTTGTCAGTTTTCAGCTTTGCTGGAGCTTAAAGAGTAGGAGAGCAGCAAATAGTAACAGCAATGTTAACAAGGGGTCCTTAAGGGACCAACACTATAAAAACTCTGCCTCTGAATGAGATGAGAAGACACTGACTGAAAGGTTTTCAGTATTAGAGAACTATGATCCAGCTCATGTTTTAAGAGACTGGGGAAGAAGATAGAAACAGGAGTCCATTTAGGAGACTGCACTAACTCAGGAGAGGACACACAGACTCAGACTAGAGTGGTGGGATGCTTATTCTAAATAGAGTCAGAGCATTTGGTGTCCGTTGATCTTGAGATGCAGAAGAAAGGAAGGACTAAAAGAGAACTGCCAGATTTGTAGCCTGAGGAAATGGAAGAATGGCCTTGCAATTTACTAAAATGGGGAAGTCAGAGGAGGGACAATTTTGAGGATAATATCAATTCAGTTTGGACACAAAGTGTTAGATCATTAATATCAAGAGGAGATACGGTAAGCATGTTTGAAAATACTTGATGATTACTTTGGATTTACCCATGATTTCCCCCCATTTTGATCTCAATAGTACTGTCAGTTGTCAGCAGATACTAACTCAGAGGAACCATGGTGCTCCTTAGTGCACATATTCTCACGAATATTGAAACCTTCCTCTTAGAGTTCTGTTGCCAACTGCTGAATGATAGAGTCAACAGGGTTATTGTTACTATCTAGACAGAGAAGAAGGTCCTCAATTAAGGAACTCGAAATATTTTCAGATCATATGAGGGCATTTCTAAAATGCTACTTCTTCAATTCTTACTGCAAGCAATTTTCAAACAAACACTTTTAATTCTCAGCACAAAACTGACAATGTTATTGATCTAGATCTAAAAAAAAAACCCAGTAATATTCATTCAGTGAGTTAGTTCACTGCTCACCTGGAAAGCACAGAGAGGTGGTTCAAAGTATATCTTTAGTAACTACCTTTCTTTATTTTAGAGCTCAGAATTAAGATTGTGTTCATCAAGCATTCTTCATACACTCTTCCCAGTACTTATTTCTCCACACAGAGAAGGAAATTCTAAGCAGCCAGCTGATAAGACAGCAAAGCTCAAGTGGCTATTCAGAGGCAAGCTCCATTTCTCTTCCTTTAACATCAAACACCCCTTTTCTGGGGGAGGAAATATAAGAGTTTCTTCAAATGTCATTATAGTTGACAGACCCTTCTTCTACTCACCACCCTCTGGTGATTCTAGATCTGGCAGAAATGCAGTATCAAGAGCAACACCAGGGAAGCCATCACCTCTATTACACCTGGAGTTACCTAAGGCCAACTTCCTACTTCACAAACTAGAGTAAATCAATAAAAGGGAATGCTATTGTCTTTGCCCAGACATAGCTACCAACAGGCAGAAGAAATTACATGTTATCTTTTATACTTTTTATACTATACAGGATGGCACACAGTTCCTAAAAATTTAGTAATCCCTACAAGAAGAAAGGGTTGCAGCCCAAAGCTTGTGCATGTAACAGATAAGGAAAGTCAATCTCAAAATCTTGATGGCTACATTTTAAAAAAACACTCCTATCTTTTTCATCAGACTTCTTAGGCAGTAGAACAGGAAACCTGACCTCCAGCTGATTAGCATCAGCTGACTTTATCAACTTGGTTTGTGCTTTAGAAAACAGAATCCCATAAATAAAGATCACTAATGATAGGACTCAGTGCAATAATAGCCTAATATATTCACAAAACAAAGCAAAGATACTCTTACTGCAGTTTTACAAACTAAGAGCTCAAGAGCTACTTGTGTCACTTTTGCTGAACTAATAATGTACAATAGGAGTAGTGAAATCTGAAATTCTCTAGTTCTACACATTAATTCAAGAAGTGATTAATTAAAAAAATAATTCTGAGACTATATTTTTCTGAAGCAAAATCAAATAAAATTAAACTCTGGCGAACAAGAAAGCACAATATTTGAAAAGCCTATCCCTGGAAAATATGAGGCACAAAACCTTGTGATAAATGAATTTGCATGGTAAAGTAGCCCAAGCTATCTAAACTTCTGGTTTAGTATTCCAGAGGACACAGGTCCCAAGACATATTTTCTAAAACTGTGACAAATGAAGTAGAAGAATGTTAAGTTATAATGCCTGCCAAAACCAATGCTACCCAAAGCCTGCCCTCAGAAGTTCCATTAAGCTAAAATAGTCTGTGTTAGGAATTCCTGGTGAGAGATTCTGCTTGGATATTGAGTCACT